TTATTTCTTTTTTCTTGATTTGTTTCTATTGGTTCTTCTTCTTGACTTTTACTATCTGTTTCCTCCTTGCTTTCCTGTTCTTCTTCTAGTCTAAAGTGTGTGTTATGGAATTCTCTTGCCTTTTCTAGAGTGTCTATTTTATATTTTTTGTCTTCCCACGTAATTAAGATCCCCTCTATTGGCAGCCATCTGTACATTATCTTATATTTGATCAATAGTTGTGTTAAAAACTGATATTGTTGTCGTAGATTTCTTACTCTTCAAGGTATCTGTTTTAAGATTATAATTTCTTTATCATTATAGATCACTGTTTCTTCTCTAGATTTCTTATAGGCTTCATCTCGGATTGATTTTTTTAAGAATTTGACATGGACTTCTCTCGCCAGTCTGTGTTTTCTTATATAATTTGTTTGTACACGGTAAGTTTCTTCCAATTGTCCTTTTATTTCTTCTGGCTCTTTTTGTGTCATTCCTGCGATAATTTCCACCATCTTCCCTTCTAAATCCTCATTTTTTTCTTCTGGAATATTTTGAAAATGCAAGAAGTATGAGGCCTTTTCCATTTCGAGCATGGCCAAGGAATCTGACATTTCTTTATTTAGTTGTAGGGTTTTTTGTTCCATTGCTTCTACTTTTAATTCCACATGATCTATTTTTGTTTCCATTTTCCTAATTCTCTGTTCATTTTCTGCTGTAGAATTTTGAATGCCCTCAATTTTATCCTTCATGGTCTTGATATCCTCCTTTACTTCTCCTATTTCATTTCTAATCTCTGCATGGAACGTTCTCATTTCTTCCTGATTTTCAGCTATTTTTTCTTGTGTTTGGAGCAGTGTTTCCTGGATCTTTTGAAACATATCTTGTATTACATTTGGTGCCATTTCCAGTTTTTCTTTTTCTTTCCCCATCATGCTATCTATTGTTTTTTGTTGTGAGGAGTCATTACTAACGTATTGGTTGTAGGTTTTTCCCCCTGTCTTTGTTATGGTGGATGTTGTAGACATTTTCAATATTCGTGTAAAGCTTTCCAACCTTAACATCAATTATTAAGTTATTCCTTAGTATCTCTTTTCCCCTCCAAACACTGCTTATATACCACACAGCTTATATATAGTTATATTATATTATATTGCCAATTATCCCAATTGAGCAATTAATTCTTATTCACAGTATAAATCAATTTACTTATCAATCAGGATTTTAGTTTAATTTTCTTAATTTTCTAATTAGCAATCTTTTCAACTACCCCCTTTTTCAATCAGTCTATCTCAAACATAGTCAACTCATTTGTTATTTTGTATAAAAATCAATCTTTCACTTTAACAATAATTCCTTATCTAACCACAATTTCACAATACAATTTATAGCTATAAAAATATTATCTACTTATTTATTTCTTTTAAATATTAAACTTATTAACTAATTAAACAGTTCAAAATTAATAATTCACTTCCCTCTTGTCTTAATTTTTATTTTCTTTGGTCTTTGTTGTCTTCTTGTTTTACCTCTCTCGATCAGTTCTTTCACAGTCATAAAAACGCGATCTGTGTCCGTCTCAGTCTTTTTTTTTTTTTACTTCTCCCAGTAATCGGATATCTGCATTGAGTTTTCAAATCTTTTTTTAAACTTAAGTTCTTATTGTCCAAACTTATTTGTAAATCCAAAGTCCGAAATCCAGATAGGTCTTCTGTACCCGTGAATTTCACCACTTAGTCCGGTATTTCAGTCTCTGCACTCAGTTTTCCGATATTTTGGGGTTTGAGTCAGTTATAGTTCCCAGGTTCAAATGGCTTGTCTATATCCACAGAGTCCACAGGCTGCTCCCTTTGCTTAACTGTAAAAGTCCGCACTCACACCGCTTCGAGCGCTATTTCTCCTTTTCTTATGTTTGCTTAGTCATTCTATGGGTTCCTCTCTTCCGCGCTGTAGTTGTTTCCCCTTTTTTCCTTCTCCTCTTGTACTGCCGCTGTTTTAACTCACTTGTCTTCCTCTGATTCGATCATGCGTCTCCTGTTTACCGCCTCTATTGTAGGTGATCTATCTGACAGTCACTCGAATTTGCTTCCACTATTTGCTTCAATCTAGGCGGGCGCCATCACTCCTGTCCGCCGATAAGGCCGACTTCTTCTCCACCAATTTAAGAGGTTGATCGCTCGACCTCCCTGATGACAGCGCAACACCAGGGGGCTTCGCAAGTTCCTCTTTCGTTTCCCGATCCATCCAAGTTCGGGAACGCCCTTAAAGAGCAATTAATGAGGAAATTTGGGTATCAGAGACGGAGCCTCCGTTTCCTCACCCGTTCATGATGACGTCACCGCCGGAAGTCCCGGAACTACTTTTTTTTTTTAATGGAAAACAAAAGAGAGGACACTTCTTTACAAAATACTTGGGACACTGCTAAGGCCATAGTGCGAAGACTGGCAATAAAACACTTAACCCGCAAGTGGAAAGAAGAAAAGTCAAAAAGGGTGGAGCTAATATCAGAGTTAGAAAAAATGGAAGAGGTGTTGCAATTAGACCCACGAAATCTTAAACCCAAAGAGAAAATAGAGTTAAATAGACATGAGATTTCATTAATAGACCAAAAGGAGTTGGAGACAAAATTAGGAAAAGCAGACAAAGACAATTTGAACATGCGAACAAAGCTGGGAAATGGTTAAGTTATAGACTAAAGAAAGAGGCAGAAGCAAGAAAAATAGAATACCTACAGGATAAAAATGGAAATTTGGCAGCTAATAGGGATCAAAAAGTAAAAATAGCCCAGGAATTTTATGGCTCCTTATATGGAGAAGAAAGATGTCAAGAAAATAAACTTGGGGAATATCTCAAGGGACTTCAATTGGAACCGATTCCCCAATTCTTTTAAGCACACTTTAAACAAAGAGATTACTATTGGCGAAATTGAAAGAGCTATTAAGAAGCAAGCGGGGGGAAAGACCCCTGGGCCCAATGGTCTCCCAAGTGAATTATACAAAGGTATTATTGACTTGCTGAGTCCTCAACTAAAGCATGTATTGAACGAGGCCTTAATATATGCCAAGATACCTCAATCCTGGAGGGAAGTTTATATTTTGTTGATCTCAAAGTCCAACTCGGACCAATCACTAATTCAATCTCGCTCTTAAATGTCGATTATAAGATCTTTACGACAGTACTAGCAGAAGGACTCAAAATATTTCTTTCCCACTTCATCCATCAGGAGCAAAATGGCTTTCTACCTTATAGACAACTTTGAGACAACGTAAGAGTAATTTTAAATATAATGGAGTATTATGAAAGGTATTCAGACAAAGATATGGCAATGGTATTCGTAGATGCCCAAAAGGCCTTTGATAGGGTCAATTGGAATTTTATTACACAACAATTAAAAATTATGGAATTTAGCTCTAAATTTATAAATGCAATTCAGGCTATATATACTAAACAGTAGGCCAAGTTGCTATTGAATGGAACAATCTCCGATGAGATTAAAATCTCCAAAGGTACTAAACAGGGTTGCCCTCTCTCACCGGTATTATTCGTTTTAACTTTGGAACCAGTTCTCAACATAATCAGGCAAGACAAGGATATTAGAGGCCTAAGGATTAAGGGAGAAGAATACAAGCTCCAAGCTTTCGCTGATGATCTTGTATTCATCTTGGAAGACCCTCTAACTTCAGGTCCGATATTGCTAAGGAGAATTGAAGAATATGGAGAAGTGGCAGGATTAAAAATTAACAAAGATAAAACTAAAATGATATCCAAAAACTTAACAGAGGATAAAAGAAATAAGGTGCAGGAAGCCATGGGACTTAAATTTACCAAGAAGGTAAAATACCTAGGGATTTGGCTGACAAACAAATGTTCTAATATTAAAGAGACCAATTACTTTAAACTATTGGCTGATACAGTAGAGGACCTAGATAGATGGAAGAATATACAGATTTCACTTTTGGGCACGGTTGCTGCTTTGATTATCCTCCCACGGTGGATTTTTCTATTTCAAATGGCTCCTGTAAATTTGGATAAAAATTTCTTTAGGAAATTGGATCAGGTAATAAGCAAATTTATTTGGCAAGGGAAAAAACCACGAATTAAGAGAAAAATGCTACAGGAGCACAAAACGAGGGGGGGCTTTGGGCTCCCAAATTGGGAGTTATACTACCAAGCCTCGTCCCTTCTTTGGATAAGAGATTGGGTATCCCTTTCGAGAAAACGCATATTAACCGTTAAGGGATTTCTTCACCAAGGCTGGCATTCAGCTCTGTGGGCACAACAAGGAAAACAATCTAAATATTTTACTAACCACTATATTAGAAGAATTTTAATAAAAATATGGGAAAAGGTGAAGAAACAAACTTATACCCAAGTTCCTAAATGGGTGGTCCCATTGGAGATGGCAACCTACCCAACTGTTTATAATATAAAAAGAAATTGGACCTACAATATCCTGATGGATGGAGGAGGGAACTTAATATCAAGAAAGGAACTTCAAGTAAAAGGAATAGATATAGATTGGTGGTCATATGCCCAAATTCAAGCTAGATTCAGAAAAGACAAACAAGAGTATGGTATTTACCAAACGACACAACCGCTAGACAGACTCCTTCTGGGTGTTGAAACAAAATTTATATCTAAGACCTATAATCTTTTGCTATCAAGCTATACAGCTGAGGAGATAGTAAAAGATACGATGATTGCCTGGGAGAGAAACTTAGGAAGACCGATGCAACTTGAACAATGGCAGGGAATATGGAATAGATCAGTGAAATTCACATTATCAGCGGCATTTAAGGAGAACTTTTATAAAATGATCTATAGGTGGTACCTCCCACCAGATAGGATAGCTAAAATGTTCCCTGGATCCTCGGACAAATGTTGGAAGTGTAATTTGGCCAGGGGTACTTTCTTTCACCAGTGGTGGACCTGCCCTCAGATCAGGAAATTTTGGGAAAAGATTCAAAAATGGTTGAACGAGATAACAGATGCAAGTTTCCCCCTAACTTCAGATTCTTACTTACTTGGAATCAAACTAAAAGACGTGGGCAAACAAGACTGGCACCTATTCATCCATATTACAACAGCAGCGAGAATGGCACTTGCCTATTGGAAAAATACAAATACACCATCAGATCAACTTATAATAAATAAGATATTGAATTGTGCCGAATTGGACAACTTAACCTATAACCTGAGAGACAAAAAAGAATTCATATACTACAGTAACTGGGAACGCTGGTATATATGGCTAAAGAAGAGGACAAACATAGAATAAATAACATAGTATTAAATATATATTTAATTATAATGAGATAGCGTTTGGTATTTAAAATAGTCAATGCTATTTGAACAAAAGGATTTACTGGGGTGTAATTATGAATAAGTATCTGGGGGTTCGATATGACCCCCGGTTAGTCTTTCTTTGTGGTTGTCTTTATGTGTTGTGTTGTGTACCTATATATAACCTATATCTGTTTGAAAATTACTTTATATGTTTTTTTTATTTGTAAATAATTAATAAAGATCTATTTAAAAAAAAAAAGAATCAAAGAACTCCTAGCTCAAACCCTACCTCTCGATTTTGCCGTTCATAAGTTCCAGCCTCGTGATTGGATCCTGATAAAACCTGATGTGAGGACAAACTTAGCCAAGTCCTACCAAGTCCTGCCGACTACTGAAACAGCGGTCCAACCTAAAGACAAAGGGTGGACCACTACACCCATGTAAAAGACCAGTGGGAGAACTTAAAGAGTGGCAAGTGATTCCTGGAGAAGACCCGCTGAGAATAAACCTTTCCAAAAACTGATGTGGTCATTGTGGTATGAATGGGCTTTGTTTGTGATTTTTCTCATTGCAGGAGTTGCAACTTTTTGGTTTTTTCGGCCTGAATGGTGGCCTCTCTTATTCCATCTGAAGATCCCAAAAGAAGCTGTGCAACTTTGCACTCTCCAGATTGTGTTGGTTCTGTGATTGTAACTGTATCACAGAATGTTGTTGTTATTCTTGTTGTAATTGTGAATTTATACACGCTTGTGGGGAATAATGGGACACTGTGCTTGTGAAAACGTGTAAGGGATTACTCTCCATAGAAATTCTATTCCTGTATATATCTATCCTACACCGGCGAATTGGGGCATTGAATCAGATCAACCTGACTTGAACACAGTAGCTCTAGGAGATAGTGATATCATAATCCCTGAAGATATAGAATGGATTGATTTAATGCAATGGTTCAATATTTGGGACTAATTTTCTTATGCATAGGGCTAATATGAGGAGAATATAATGCAATGATAAGTATGAAAAATCATATTACATGTAAGGGTGTTTTCTTCGCTTACTGTCATTTTTCAGTCTGGAATTAACCTGACACAACCTAGTAACCCATTTGAAAAAAAAATAACTAGACTGAGTGGGATGTGGTAACTCTTAATTGACATGCTCCAGATGTCTTACATTGGATAAATGGAAAGTTTGCCTATGTGCAATTGCCTAGCCGATGGGATGAAGCATGTGTGCTAGGAACGGTGAAACCTATTTTTCTTCCTTTTTCTACTGCCCATACAACAAGGTGAAAGACTGGGTGTACCTATTTATCTGGAAGTAGGCCACAGAAAGATGACTGGCCTCCAGAAATAATAGTTCAGGTGTACGGACCAGCCACCTGGGCAGAAGATGGTACAGAACTCCCTTTATATGCTGAATAGAATTGTAAGGTTACAGCCAATTATTGCAATGACAGCTAATGCAACTGCTAGTGCTCTAAATTTCTTAGTTAAACAGCACTCTCTGTTTAAAACAGCAATATCCCAGAACAGATTTGCTTTACAATACTTGTTAGCAAAAGTAAAATTTAATCTCACAAATTTTGTTTGCAAAACTGATGATTGTTAACCTTTGGAGGTCTCCTTCTTCTCCCTTATCTCATTCCTTTAATCCAAAGAATAGTCACATCAACTATTTCTGGGATTACAGTCATAGCATCCTCAGTGTCGACCATTCCTCGTCAAAAGCCTGCAAATCTCATGAGTCTTAAAACAAAACCTACTAAATATGTACCCCTCTTACAGCATGATGGAATGCATTCCATCGTTTAAATACAAAGAGTGGAATGTAGGGAAACAATAATAAGGATAGCATATAAAATACTGATATATTCCATATAGAAGATACTATATGGAATACAAATTTAAAGTCATATGAGGGTTTTACTTATATAGGGAAATATCTTTTAGTGATATGGGCAGAAGAATAAAGATATTAAATATATTATGTATGGTAGACCTGTAGGAAAGTGGGTGAAATAAAATTGATATGGTATAAGGTGATAGGTAACGTTACTGATTGCTTAGTTTAGGAAAAGGGATGTTATGTTTATATATTAATATTTATTTATTTATTTTATTTATTTGTTTAAATTTCTATACCGCCCTTCTCCAATATAGGACTCAGGGCGGTGAACAGCCAAAGTAAAAACAAGACATACAAAATCTAAAAACTGTTTAAAATAATTAAATATTCTGGCCGTAATTAAAAAATTCCAATTTAAAATCAGTTTAAAATTTAGCTCAAGCCAGCCCAGCTAGCTGAAATAAATGGGTTTTCAGGGCCCGACGAAAAGTCCAGAGGTCTGTTATTGTACGTATCTCAGAGGGTGGGCGCCGCCACAGAGAAGGCTCTCCCCCTGGGGGTCACCAGCCGACATTGTCTGGCGGACGGCACCCTGAGGAGGCCCACTCTGTGTGAGCGTACTGACCGGTGGGAGGCTATTGGTGGCAGAAGGCGGTCTCGTAAATACCCTGGCCCTGGGCCATGGAGTGCTTTAAAGGTGGTCACCAACACCTTGAAGCGCACCCGGAAGACCACCCGGAGCCAGTGCAGCTCGTGCAGGAGAGGTGTCACATGGGAGCGCCTCGTCGCCCCCATAATCCCCCGCGCGGCCGCCTTCTGGACCAGCTGGGGCCTCCGGGTGCACCCCAGGGGGAGCCCCATGTAGAGAGCGTTGCAGTAGTCCAGGCGGGAAGTGACAAGTGCCTGAGTGACTGTGCATTGGGAGTCCCGATCTAGAAAGGGGCGCAACTGGCGTATCAGGCGAACCTGATAAAAAACCCTCCTGGCCACGGCCGTCAGATGATCTTCTAAAGACAGCCGTGCGTCCAGGAGGACGCCCAAGTTACGAGCCCTCTCCGTGGGGGCGAGTGATTCACCCCCAATAGCCAGCGATGGCATCAGCTGGCTATATCGGGACGCCGGAAGCCACAGCCACTCGGTCTTGGAGGGGTTGAGTCGGAGCCTGTTTCTCCCCATCCAGGCCCGCACGGCCTCCAGGCACTGGGACATCACTTCAAGGGCATCATTGGGGTGGCCTGGGGTGGAGATGTACAGCGGGGTGTCATCAGCGTACTGGTGGAACTCCACCCCGAAGCCACGGATGATCTCACCCAGCGGCTTTACATAAATGTTGAACAGAAGAGGCGAGAGGACCGACCCTTGTGGCACCCCACAAGCCATGTGCCTCGGGGTCGACCGCTGCCCCCCTGTCAACACAGATTGCGACCGGTCAGAGAGGTAGGAGGAGAACCACCGCAGAACGGTGCCTCCCACCTCCAACCCCGCCAACCGGTGCAACATGATACCATGGTCGATGGTATCAAAAGCCGCTGAGAGGTCTAACAGGACCAGGATAGAGGAGCAACCCCTATCCCGGGCCCTCCAGAGATCATCCACCAATGCGACCAATGCCGTTTCTGTGCTGTGCCCAGGCCGGAAGCCGGACTGGAGCGGGTCTAGATAGACAACTTCATCCAGGTACTTCTTTCAAAGCGGCTGGCAGGACCCCCTCACTCAAAGAAGCGTTAACAATCTTCTGGAACCAGCCTCGTGTCACCTCCCGGGAAGCCAGTACCAATCAGGAGGGACACGGGTCCAATAAACATGTGGTCGCGTTCAGCTGTCCCAGGACCCTGTCCATGTCCTCGGGAGCCACAGGATCGAACTGCCCCCAGATAACACTCTCAAGACCTGCCTCAGTCATCCCGTCCGGACATACCCAGTCAGAGGCCAGCCCTTCCCGAATCTGAGCGATTTTGTCATACAGACACTGCACAAAATCCTCAGCTCGGCCCTGCAAGGGGTCATCCCGCACTTCCAGATGGAGGAGGGAGCGGGTCACCCTAAACAGGGCGGCCGGGCAATTATCTGATGACACGATAAGAGCGGCAAAATAGCTAGTTTTCGCCGCTTTTATCGCCACTAGGTAGGTCTTAATATGAGACCTCACCAGTGTTCGGTCAGATTCGGAGCGGCTGGTCCTCCAACTACTCTCCAGGCGTCTTTTCCGGCGCTTCATCTCCCTAAGCTCCTCAGAGAACCAAGGAGCTAGGTGAGTTCAGTGCCGGGTCAGAGGCCGCAAAGGCACGACTCGGTCCAAGGCCCCGGCAGCCGCACTATCCCAGGCGGCCACCAGGTCTTCAGCCGAGTCATGAGCCAGAATCTCAGGAAATGGCCCAAGCTCCATCTGGAACCTATCAGGGTCCATCAGGCGCCTGGGCCGGAACCACCTGGTCGGTCCCGTCTCCCTGTGGCGGGGTGCAGCGGTTAGAAAGTCCAGTCGAAGGAGCGAGTGGTCAGACCATGACAAGGGTTCGATGGCTATATCCCCTATATCAAGGCCACTCAACCACTGTCCAGAGACAAAAACTAAGTCCAGAGTGTGTCCCGCTGTGTGAGTGGGGTCATGAATTAACTGAGTAAGGTCCATGGCTGTCATGGAAGCCATGAACTCTCGAGCCACCTCAGATGTTTCACCGATAGATGGCAGGTTAAAATCCCCCATGATGACAAGTCTGGAGGTGTCCACCGCCATCTCGGCTATAACGTTAAGCAGCTCGGGCAGGGCCGTTGCCACGTGGCAGGGAGCCAGGTACATGACCAACAAGCCCATCTGTACTCCACGACCCCACTTCACAAAGAGGGACTCACATCCGGCTATCTGTGGAACAGTGGTCTCCCTTGGATCCAGACCTTCCTTTATAATAACCGCCATCCCCCCGCCCCTGCCCTGAGCCCTCGGCTGATGAAATGCACGGAAGCCTGGTGGGCAT